TTGTGTGATTGTGTTTGTGTATGCTTGGATTTTTGTCAGGCTGGGACTTGGGCGGCCCCTTCTTCAGGTTCATTTGAGGGCCCACTGCTTCCCCAGCTGCGCTGCCCTCTGGTGGGTTGTGCCTTTGCCTGCCGGCGCGCTGGTGGCTCTCGTTGTCTGGGGCTGGGTGCTTGGGCATGTGCCGGCTCGGCGACTGCCCCGTGGGGCTTGGGTCTCCTGGCCCTGTCGGACCTTGGCCTGGGGTGGGGGTGGGGCGCCCTGGGGGCCCGGGCCTCTGTGTTCATACCTGGATCTGCTCTGGCACGGTGGGTGCCAGCGGGGCCTGTGAGGTCGTCGCTGCTGGCCCCAGGGTTTTACTGCATGTGGTCGCTGATGGAGCTCTCCCTGTTCTCTCCTGTGGTCCCCTTTGGGGGTGGGGGGTGTGGCCCTCCCGGCACAGGTGCCTCTGGGGACTCCACGCTTGGGGTCCCTCTCGAGGTCTTCGGTGCTGGTCTCCCTTATGTCGRCTTCGGGTTTTACGGGTCGGGTCTGTGGTCCTCTAGAGTCAGACGATCTTGTATATACATGCATGCTCACAACCGCACACAAACAGGTGTTTACATCCTGGGTTTTCTGGTCGGACACTGATTGAATGATATGTGCATATGTATGGATATATATATACGTTTGTATATCTATGTGTATGGATGTGGGTATGGATGTGTTTAAATCTATATAGATATAAACATAGGTATACCTTTCAGCAAGGCTATAATCATTATAATTATATAGATATGCATTTTTGTTGCTGTGTTTTTGTTATCTCTGTTTCTGTAAGTATACAGCCAAGATGTCGGGTGTGTTCTCTTGTGGTTTCTCTATATATAGTACACATATCTTCTAATCTCTCTTTCACTCTTTCCTATTACATTTCACAATTTTTCACAGTTTTTTTTCTTCTCTTACTTTTCTTCTTAAAAAGGTCACTGAGGATGAAGAAGTTAAGAAACTGATATTCAGTTCTGCTTTCTACTAAAGTGGCTAYGAAAAAAAGTCACACCAAAGTCCATGRTCCTCAGYTGGAAAAGGGTAGATTGCTCTCTCCGGGTTGGGAGTGAAGTTTTGCCTCAAGTGGAGGAGTTTGAGTATCTTGGGGTCTTGTTCACGGATGAGGGAAGAATGCAACGTGAGATTTTTAGACAGATCGAGCTTCTTCAGTTTTGCAGACTTTGTACCAGTCTGTTATGGTGACGAGGGAGCTGAGCTGTCTGGCAAAGCTCTCTGTTTACCAGTTAGTCAATGTTCATACCCTCATCTATGGTCACGAACTTTGGGTAGTGACAGAAAGAACTAGATCGCGGATACAAGTGGTCAATATGAGTTTTCTCCGCAGGGCAGATGGACTCTCCCTTGGAGATAGGGTAAGAAGTTCAGTTATCCGGGAAAGACTCAGTGTAGAGCCACTGCTCCTCCACATTGAGAGGAGCCACTTCTGGATGCTTCTCTAGGGAGGTGCTTCAGGCATGTCCAATTGGGAGGAGACCCAGAAGAAGACCCAGGACATGCTGGAGAGACTATTGTCTCTTGGCTGGCCTGGAAACACCTCGGAGTCCTCCCAGAAGAGCTGGAAGAGGTGGCTGGGGAAAGAGAGATCTGGGCTTCATTGCTCAAGCTGCTGCCCCCACGACCCGGAAGATGGATGGATGGATGGACGGACGGACGGACGGACGGATGGATAGTTCAAATGAAAACACTGGAGCAGACAGTGATTTACTTTGACCAATGTAAACATACACAAGACTATCACCAACACTCCGTCTCCAAAAAAATATTTAAGTAAGAGTTCTTGTCCTAATCTATGGTGTGAGATGGACCAAAATGAAGGACCAGAGAACAGCAGGCAGGACAGGAAACGAGTATCAGTGCTTCAACAAACTCACATCTACACAGAAACTGACAAGTCTCTCAGCGCCAAAAAGATAAGAAAAATATAAACAAGATAGTACTCAACGCCAATTGCCGCTAGTGTCCCCCGTCTCGGATGGATGGAGAACATTTCTAAGTCCCCCGCCTCGACAACAGGGGATCATAACTGGCAAAGAGGAAAGAAAATCTTGTAAGTATATACACTGTGGGAAGCAGAGGCGATTGCTCTAAGACTGCAAGGGAAGCTCAGCTTCCCCTAAAATGTAAAGAAAAAAGATCCAATATATAATGTTGTGTGTACATGTCACTGACTAAATATGTGCTACAAYGTGCTCAACTTTTGGTCAGAATCAGCTCATCACAGGTAACGACGCAGCTTTCCTCTCGCAGCTTCACAGTGCTTTAAACAGTCAGACGCTCAGCTTCCACAGACTTCAACAGTGAAGCAAAGATTGCAGCGAAACGAGACGAGTCATTCGATAAATGCTGGGCTTTGTCCCGTCCATCGGACGCTCAGCGTCTCTGGGAGTCTATAGGGAAGTGGGCTGGCCTTGGCTGGCTCGGACACTCAACTTCTGCATGACGATTGGATGATCTGTCTGAGGCTAAATCCCTTTTTGATTGACAGCGAAATGAGCGAATCAGCGATCTTTTGGTGTAAACATCCATGGGAGCATTTTTTTTGGTTTCATTCTGTTTTGTGTTGAACCGGAGACTTTATTAATCCTTTTAGCAGCATTTTCTTTGTTAAAAACGACTAGCGACAAATCAAGCTTCTATTTCTGGTGTGGATTTTTTTTAATTTTATTTTGTAGCTGCTCGTGTTTGGAGACTGACTTCTATCACTCTTTCTGACTTCTATCACAGTTTCTCTCCAGCGGGTGCTGCTGAGCCCCTCCACCGTCGCAAAGCACTCATGAACACACTTCACTCTAGCCTCCCAACAGTAACAAGCTGCACATAATGGCAGACAGTTTGAATGTTGAGGACCGGATTTTGGTGAAGCCATTTGACAGTCTTCCTTACGAAGAAAAACTTGGACTGATCAACTCCTCAGATTAATTTGGTGCAAAAGGTGGGGAAAAGTAACAGGTCTTTTCAGCTGTCCTGGTTTGTCAAAGTGAGCTGGCTGCTGTAAAAGGCTATAGAATGATCTGGAAAACGATTATAAAAGCATTGGATCAATTAATTCCTTTAAAAAATGATCAACGCAAAATTGTTAAAGAAATATGAAATTGTTTAATTTGCATGAGTCACTGTTTGAGGAGCTGAATTTTTTGTTTTGTTTTATTATTGTTTGAAATTAATTTTTTTGTAAATGGGAGCAGATATAAGATCTTTTTCTTCTTCTGCTGCCTTTCATTTAATTTTATTTGTATGTTTTTGTTGTATGTAACATTTTGTTTTTTTAAATGAAATGAATACATAATCTGTGACAGGGTCACAGATCATTTTCTTGAAAAGGAACGGAGGGTAGAAT